ACTGGGTTTCGTTGGCATTTGTTTCATAATTGTTGTTGTTTTTTTGATAGAACATTTTTGTATGACACACTATTCAACATTCCCTTTTATTGGTCATTACGTGTTATGACGATGTGTTTGAGTGTGACCGACATGACGAGACATCGAGCATTTGGTTGGATGTCACGTACTGTTATACGTTTGATCAAACAGGGCACAACATGACGAGCGTTTTCTCTCCATGGCATAAATAGAGAAAATTGTCACATTTGCAGCACTTTAATACATATTTACAAATTTGAAAAAAGGTTGCCTGTTGAACTCTTCGAACATAGACGACGATTGCCAAACTGATGAATACGACCCCGACGAAGACGCAGTTTCCGAAACGAGTGAGACGAAGGATCGAACAATAGTACCAAAGCAGAGCAACGATGAAGGTGGTGACTACAATGAAGTTTATAACGACGATAATGAAGATGCTAGCAGCAATAATGAAGTTTACGTGGGCGCATCAAGGTATGCTACAACATTCGATGTCATGAAGAAAACCAGAACAACCGTAGAAAAAGGAGTAAATTCATTCAAACAAACATACGAACATAAAAATATAAACAGAAATGATAATAACAAATTCAGAATGACGCAGTATGCAACGACTTATAATGCATCAAGATTTACAATGAATTTTCGCGATATTGAGGAATAAATTAGACCATTCGATGGCAGTGGAAATTTGTCGATTAGATCGTGGATTCAAGAATTTGAGGAAACGGCTGTCGTTATGGGCTGGGATGATTTACAGATGTAAGTTTTTGGTAAGAAATCATTGAAAGGTCTTGCTAAACTTTTTGTATCAAGTGAACGAGGAATTACATCGTGGCAGAAACTTAAGGAATCTCTTATTGACGAATTCGGAACGAACTTGAATAGCGCACAACTACATACACTACTTGCGGAACGTAAAATTGCGAAAGACGAGAATGTTCACGAATACTTTTTGAACATGAAAGAGCTTGCTTCGCGTGGATCAGTGGAAGACAGTGCTTTAATGCAATACGTGATAGATGGTATACGAGATTCGACTTCAAACAAAACGGTCCTCTATGGTGCAACAAGTTTGAAAGAGTTTAAGGCGAAACTAAAATGTTACGAGACCATGTGGATGAACCAAAGAAACGCCGTTGAAGCAAAACACAACACGTTCAACGCTAGTAAGCAAAATATGAAGAATACAAGAAGAGACATGTTATGTTTCAATTGTGGGGTCAAAGACCATACATCGCAAGACTGTAGAGACAAATCAAAAGGTATCAAGTGTTTCAATTGTAATAATTTTGGTCATATTTCCAAAGACTGTCCTTTAATACATCAAACTTCAAATATACGACGATTGGTATCACATGATATAATGAGAAAAGAAATAAAATTCGGAGATCAAAGTTGGTCAGCGTTATTTGACACCGGCAGCAAATTTAATGTCGTATCCAAGAAAGTGTACAATCTTCTCAAAAATCCGAAGCTAACTGAATCAAATTTCCACCTAGTAGGATTTGGAAAGGGCGCCAAGGGAAATAAAGTTATGCTATTAGGAAATTTTGATTACAAGATTTTATTGGAGAAAGAAGAATACGTTATGAAATTTCATGTTGTTCCAAACACATGTAGCGACGTTGAGATAATAATAGGAACCGATATCTGTAGCCAAGCCAGAATAATAATTACTCCGGACTGTCTGAAGATCGAGAAGATAAAAGACGTAGTACAAGATGAAGTCGAGGAGCACAGAATAATGGTTATGGAAGTTTGTGACGATTATGAGGAAATTGATTTAGACATTGACACCTCTGCTGATAACGAAATGGTGAGAAAAGTAAGGAAGATGGTTCAGGCATATAAGCCCAGCAAAAGTAAAACTACGAACGTGGAAATGAGGCTCGTGCTCAAAGATGAATCACCAATATTTTGCAATCCCAGACGACTACCACTACAAGAGAGAACTGTAGTAGAAAATCAAATTGATAACTGGTTGGATGAAGGTATTATTGAGCATTCAGATTCAGAATTTTGCAGTCCAATCGTTTTGGTGAAGAAACGCGATTCGACGAGTAGATTATGTGTTGATTATCGAAGAATAAACAAGGTGATAGTAAAAGATCACTACCCGTTGCCGCTAATCGAAGATCAACTAGATCGCTTGCAAAACGCCGTTATATTCAGCACGATCGACTTAAGAAATGGATTTTTTCACGTACCAGTCAACGAGGAAAGCAGAAAGTATACGTCGTTTGTGACGCACAACGGGCAGTACCAATTTCGAAAGGTTCCTTTTGGTCTTTCTAACTCGCCGGTCGTGTTCCAACGTCACATAAATGCAATTTTCCGAGAGTTGAATAGAGAAGGTGTTGCTTTACCATACGTCGACGACGTCATAATACCAGCAAGTAATTACGAAGAGGCTGTTATAAATCTTCAAAGAGTATTGGATACCTGTAGAGACTATGGATTGGACATCAATCTCAAAAAGTGCAGTTTCCTAAAGAAAAGAATTCAATTTCTAGGTAACATCATTGAAAACAGAAAAATTTCACCTGGTACAGACAAAACGAAAGCCGTGGTAAATTTTCCACAACCACAGAATCTGAAACAACTTGAAAGCTTTCTAGGACTCGTCGGATATTTTAGGAAATTCATACCGAATTTTGCGCTGATAGCCAAGCCACTCAACGATCTGCGAAAAGGAAATGTTAAGTTTGAATTCGGTAATGAACAAAAATTAGCCTTTAATAAACTCAAGCAGTGCATGATTAACGAACCAGTACTAAACATATATAACGAGAACTTTGAAACTGAGGTACATACAGATGCATTTATTGATGGCTATGGTGCAGTATTATTGCAAAAATCTCCAGACGACAACCTTTTACATCCTGTCTACTACATGAGCCGGAAAACCACTGACGCTGAAAGGAAATACACAAGTTACGAGTTGGAGGTACTTGCTGTCATCGAGGCATTGAAGAAGTTTCGAGTTTATCTCATTGGTAAAACATTTAAATTGATGACCGACTGCAATGCTTTTACGAAAACACTGGATAAAAAAGATTTAAGTACAAGAGTAGCAAGATGGATCCTGTTTTTACAAGAGTACGACTTCGTGGTAGAACATCGACCTGGAACACAGATGAAGCATGTAGATGCCCTAAGTCGATATCCGATAATGGTTATTCACGATGTTGGTTTAGTGGAACGTATAAGACGACTGCAAGAGATGGAAGAACTCTACGCAATTCAAGAAATCTTAAAGGAAAAGCCTAGTTATAAGGGATATTTTGTAAAATGTGGTATATTGTACAAGATTGAAAACGAATGTGAACTTTTAGTGATCCCAAAGGGTATGCAAAACGAGATAATAAAAAATGCTCATGAAAGGGGACACTTCTCCATAAAGAAGACTAAAGAGCTGATCGATAAGGAATACTACATCCCGAAGCTTGAAGATAAAATTCACAGACTTGTAGTGAATTATGTTGCTTGTGTGATAACTGGCCGAAAGCGTGGAAAACAGGAAGGAGAATTAAACCCTCTGCCGAAAAGAGATACGCCATTGCACACTTACCATATTGACTATCTTGGACCACTGGAAACGACAAACAAGAATTATAATCACATATTTGCCGTGATTGATGCCTTCACCAAATTTTGTTGGCTGTATCCAACGAAGACTACTTCCGCCAAGGATGCAATCGCGAGACTAGAATTGCAAAGTATTACATTTGGCAATCCTTTTCAAATCGTGTCCGATCGTGGCTCAGCGTTTACGAGCGAAGATTTCAAAACCTATTGCGACGAGGAAAAAATAAATCATATCAAAATTACGACTGGACTTCCTCGTGCAAACGGCCAAATAGAAAGGCTCAATAGTGTCATTGCGTCAGTTTTGTCGAAGTTAAGTGTCGAAGAACCTAGCAAGTGGTATAAACATGTAGGACACACACCCTTCGAAATGTTGGTTGGAAAGCGAATGAGAACTAAACAAGACGAAAGGCTAAAGGAGTTGTTTGAGCAAGAAATGTTTTTGTGCTATGACGAACAACGAAATCAAATACGGCAGTCAGCGAAACTTCAAATTTTAGCCGTTCAGGATGAGAACAAAAAGTACTATGATCAGAAGCGCAAAACACCACACAAATACAATGTTAGCGACCTTGTAGCCATAAAAAGAACTCAACGTGGTGGTGGCTTGAAGCTTAAGGCAAAATACTTAGGTCCTTATAAAGTTATGAGAAGTAAACCAAAGGACACGTACGACATTATAAAGGAAGGTATTAACGAAGGCCGAACAAACAAACTATTGGAAATCCTAATGACTTGCAGGAAGGCCGAGATGTGGGATGAGAAAATTAGGGTATGCTCATACATCATACTCATACTTGAAGTTAGTTCATACGAAGACACGGAACTGTGAAGACGTACAACGACGACGCTTAGTTACATTTATTCATTGTTCATTCACTTTTATTAAGTCCATTTACTTTTTAAATAAACCTTAATTCCACATCTATAATTATACGAATTAAATATAAAACTGTGACTTTTATTGTGAAGCGAAGGAATTAGTGAATGCCACAGATTTGGGAATAAAGAACATTAATTAATAGATTAAACTATATATATATATATATATATATATATATATATATATATATATATATATATATATATATATATATATATATATATATATATATATATATGGTTTTGTCCCGGACGAGTCCCAAATTTTTAGAGTTTTATCCCGGTTGAGCCCTATATATATATATATATATACACACATATATATATATATATATATATATATATATATATATATATATATATATATATATATATATATATATATATATATATATATATATATATATGTGTATATATATATATATATATATATATATATATATATATATATATATATATATATATATATATTAATTGAAATTTAAACATGGATATATATTTACTTTTTGAATTTCTCTTGGTCCAGAGCGAACTCGAGATGATTCGGGTTTAAAATATTGTTCTTCCGGAATCTCCCACTCTCTACTGTTATGTTTAGACGACATTCGATCATCTCTTCTGTTGTATTCATATTTTGATATATTTCTACTGGAATTATATTCATTGTTCTCCCTGTCAGCATCAACATCTTTAAAATCGCCACGATCTCCACTTCGATGACTATCGAATCGACGATGATCGTTATATGAGTTATAAGTTCCTCCACGATAAGAGTTATTTCTATCACGGTAAGAAGAGCCACCATAATATTTTGGTGGTAAACCACTACTTCCACCACGCCCTTCACGATCTTCATTTTGGCGTGAGTTGTAATGAGGTCTGGATGGGGGACCATCATATCCGCCTAACGGTTTCTTTGATGACACCTCTTCTTCTTGCTTCTTCTCATAATGATAGAAATCATCGAATATAGACGTTACATGTTGATAGGAATGGAGAATTTGTAAAACTTCTATTCCCTTGGCATGGGGCACTTCCTGGGTGTCACGGGAATTGGTTACAGGCTTATTTTCATTATTTTCCAATGTTATGTGGCGCAAGGCATTGTTCGGCACGTCTTTTACATAAATCCACTTGACTTTAAATTTACCCTTCCACTTGTCCTGAGACCATACACTAGAAGTTGAATTGTAATCGACGGGAGTCATCATTTGAGCCATACCACAAAAGTGGCCCGAACCATTTACCGAGAAGAACAATAGGATATTTCCGTTTTCCTTATGGCGCTCTTTGAAGGCATCATCAAGTCTCTTATTGCCGTGATCTGTTGAACACCATATTTCATACTTTATGCTTCGATGAATATCATCTTCGGAGTACGACTTGATGACGAAAAATCTGAAAAGATAAATATATCAACAAATTGCCGGACGTGTTATAATCTTAATATTACCTAGCAAAAGTAGCATTTTCTAAGTCTAACTCAACTGGATTGTAGTTATTTTTGTCCCGTAATTCTTCCAATACTGCCTGTGGTGATTCAACAGGTCCGTCATTTGCGTCAGCAGTTTTTGGCGAGTTGTCTTCGAGGAAATCTGTAGATCCGCTTTCGTGATCACGGCGAATTGATCCAGGTTGCTGTCTTCGATCTCCATATCGACCGTAACCAGGACTACTCATTCCGGAATTGTCATTGCCTCCTCTTCCTTGGCTGCCACTACCTCCTAACCTTCCATCAGAATGACGTGCATTTCCTAACTGCCTTGTGTTCTGGTGATGATGCATTGGGTGCTGAGTAGACCAATTTTTTCGCGAATGCCCGTTAGGTGAATTTCTCAACCGACCAAAATTGTTATAATTTCCCTTGTTGTCATCCTTATTATTATCGGCAGCTCTGTGTGGGCCACTGTTTTCAGATCGTGAAGTGATGTCAAAATCCGAACCAAGTCCGGGGGAAAAATCGGAGTTAAGGTCACTAGCGCCCAAGTCAATTGGGGGTGGTGGTGACGGCACTGGTGGTGGATTATTGTTTGGAATATCCCAAATATTCACGTCCAAATTATGTTTACCTGGAACCATAGGAGGTGGAGGCATACCAGGTCCTTTCTTTTTATGACTGGAAGTTGCAAGTGTAGTCTGCAATTAAAGACATGGGAAATAATTCCATGGTTCATTAAGTTTATTTCGATGTTAAACTCACCCTCGATGTCAATTTTGCTGGTTGAGAGGCTATCGAAGCCCACGTTGTTTTTTTGGGTGCCGATAACGAAGAGGAGTTTTTCTTCTCTTCTGAGGAATAAACGGCAGTACTTTTATTGTCCAACTTTTCGCTCCCATAATTGTCTTGTTTGTTCTCGTCATAACGATTGCCCTGAAAAATTGATGCATTTACTAATGTCAATCAATGTGCGTAAAAATATATGTTACCTTGTGATAGTTTCCAAATGAAATATCGCCGGACACTCTTCTAGTGTTAGAAGAGCCCCAAGCCGATTGTTGATAATCGTCCCTTTTATTGTTATAAGATGGTTTGTTATATTTTTTGTTTGAATCTAAAATATTAAAGTATACCTTTTATAGTTATTTTAAAAATGGAAAAAGGTTTTTTTCTGCCTAACATGAATGCACGCTTAATTAAATCAAATCATTACTATAAGCAAATTATTTTTCCCAACTTAATAGACTAACACATATGTGAAACATGAATACTGTTTCGGCGACATCGAATCGTTTATATATAACCAAACTACGTACCCAAGGCTATATACAACAAGATTCGCCTAAGTCTCGAAGGGAAAACGCCATACAGTTCTCGGCGCTTTTGAACCCTTCACCTTAACTGGTGAAGTTAGTGGTGTACCGCTAACGACGTATCATTTTTAGCCACCCTAACGCCACACAATCCTCAACACGGTTCAAAATATTGATTGGGTGGTGGATCCAGGCTGGTTTAATCAGATATCTGAATTACAGATGCAATTTCTAAATATAAATCTCATTATTATACGCCATTTAGTTGTTGTTGTTGTAGCAGAAGTACATTTATGTGTTTGCGTTCTGCTAATCTGGTTCCAGCTCCAGGTTTAGAAATTCGGCTACTTTAACGGGCTGTAGCCAGAGATCTTCTGGAGTGAGTTGGGTGGGTTTGGCTGAGCAATTAAAAAGGTGTAGCGTATTGTGCGGGCCTGTATCACACGCCGGGCAGGCGTCACGCACATCTTCATCAATTCGTGCCCAATACGAATTGAGACGACTACACCATCCTGAACGTAATTGCGCCAAAACCACCCTGGTTTGTCTATGCAGCTGACGTTCTTCAGCTGCAATGGATGGGAGGTGGACTCCGAGGACAGCATTCACTTTTTAACTGCTAATAGCATCCGCGACTGCATCGGTGTGAATGCCACTCAGACCTGCCTGATAGGCTTCTTGATCTAAATGTTCTCTCTTTTAGCGCTGGACCTCCCTCTCTAGATCATATATGTCCTTCCTGACACGCCTGGGTGGGGGAGACTTATCCACCATATGATGGTTTGGCTCTCACGGTAACACCCAAGCAGGTACTGCAACGAAAGCATATGATTATGCTGACTTAAGGGAAGGACTTTCGCCTCCTCATGTAGATGGTCCACTGGTGTCATGAGGAGGCACCCTGTCGCGTAGCACTAGTATTCGCAGACCACACTGGAGCCGCATAGCTGACCACAGACCGACCTATCGCGTTATAAGAGGTCAACAAGGTTTCTTTGTCCGCACCCCAAGAGCTGCCGGCTAGCGCCTTGAGGACCTTGTTCCTACTTTTCATCTTGTCGCAGATAGCTGTGGCTTGCGCGGACGACTTGAACATTCTGTCGAACGTGACCCCAAGAATCTTGGGGTAGTTCGTGGTCGGTATTAGATTCCCCTCGACCTGAACATTCAGCTGTGTTCTCATCTCCGCAGACCATGTGGTAAAGAGTGTGGCCGTTGATTTCGTGGCGGATATTTTCATATTCCTCGCGTGGAAGTATGCGGCAAGCTCCGTGAGATAGGGGTTCAACCTTTCGCATATGTCATCGACCACTGGACCCGACTCCATGATCGTACAATCATCCGCATACGTTACGATCTTAATGCCGTCTGGAGGGCGAGGAATTCCGGAAAGGTAGAGGTTAAACAGTTCGGAGATATCACCCAACCTTGGGGAACTCCCTGTTTCACTCTACGGGCTTTGGACTTCTTGTTCCGGAATTCCACGTACGACTGGCGTCCACACATATAGTTGATTATCCAACGTTTCAAACATGGCCGGAGGGTAGTTCTCTGCACGTCCTCAAACAGTGTGGCATGATTGACCGTATCAAATGCCTTTGATAGGTCAAGGGCTACCAACACTGTTCTGTCACACGGCCTGTTCTGGTTCAGTCCTCTACTAATATGTGTGGAAATGGCGTGTAATGCTGTTGTGGTACTATGTTGTGGACGGAATCCGTGCTGGTGGTTGGCAACTGTATAGCTTCCTCTTATGCTGGGGAGGAGTAAAGCCTCAAGAGTCTTTGCTACTGGCGACAAAAGCGAAATCGGCCTGTACGATTCGCCTTTACTGGCATCCTTGCCTGGCTTCAGTAGCGGGACAACCCGGCCCATTTTCCAGGTTTCGGGCACTATGTGGGTGGCTAGCGACAAATTGAGAACTTTCGTTAAGTACTCGACTCCCGGCGTATCCAGCTGCTTCAACATTACCATTGAGATTCCGTCTGGGCCCAACGCTTTAGATGACTTAGCGTTACGGATGACATTTGCAACATCACCCATCGTAAACTGTGGTGGTTCCTCCTCGGCGGGAAGAGATCTGATACGACGTTGTACTCTTCGCTTCGCCCTATCGCTCTCGGGGTGCTCGACAAATTGTCGGTTAAAATATTCCGCGCACCTCTTCGGATCAGTCACCGTTACGTCGTTAAAAGTGACTGAGGTCCTATCATCCTTTTTTCCAGGTTTCGAGAGCGACTTAACCGTTACCCACAGCTTACTCATATCGGTTCCAATGTTGCAGCACTTCAGATGGTCTAGCCACTCTTTCCTCTTATGCTCCTGTACCAACCGGTTGACTTCCACTGTCAAATCACTGATTCTAGGATCAGTAGGGTTGGTACGACGGAGATCATCCCGCTCGTTTGCTCGAGTATTCGACCAGCAGGTATATAGCGAGCGGCTGCAGCTTTGATGATGTTTCGGAAAATCCTTTCTGCTACCCGAACATCAGAAGGGTTGGACAGTTCTCTGAAGCGGCGGTTGGTGAATTCTCTGAACTCTGGCCAGTGAGCTTTCCCATGGTTAAGGAAAGTGCGGCGTTCAGAGGTTATGAAATCGGGCGACCTGCTTATGGAGACGATTATCGGAAGATGGTCTGAGCCAAGAGAAATGAGGGGTTGCCAAGTCACGTCATTTATCAGACCGGGTGACACTATGGTTAAGTCTGGCGAACTGTGACACTCTCCTCTTATTCGGGTGGGGGCATCCTCGTTAACCGTGCAGAATGTGGAGCAGTCAATCTGCTCTGCCAGCGCTGATCCCCTCTGGTCATTACCTAGGACGGAATGCCACAACTCATGGTGGGCATTAAAATCCCCTAGTACCAGGCGGTTATTGCCTACCAATAATGGGCTAATGTCAGGCAAATAACGCGGTTCACAGCTATTAATGGGCGGGATATACACATTCCACACTTGACTGCTACCCCCATACATTCCATGTATGGGTCACTAGAGACTAGCTCAAACGAGATAGGTCTGTACTGAACAGAATGGTGTAACAGGAACGGTAATCCCCCGCCTTCACTTCTGGTGCGATCCTTCCTTAGTACGTTGTAACCATAACAACGTTGTAGGCTGCAATTTTCATTCAGCTTGGTTTCCTGCACCGCTGCGATCTTAATATTCCTCCGACTCATAAATTCCACTATCTCATCTATTTTGCCTCGAAGTCCGTTGCAATTGAATTGCAAGAATGATGCACAATCCGGAGTTGGAACAGCAACATGTGGCACTAGGTGCTGCGGTGTTGGTTGCTGTTCTGGAGACTGCGGGGGAGTGCCATACTCCGACGACGTCTCTGATGAGGACGACGAAGAAGTGGACTCGCTGGGGACTACGTTACTGCAGCAAGTTGCAACATAATCCTTTTCGCTGTAGTCTCGCAAACGCCTTAGTCCGGAACAGTTCTTGAAGTGCACCCATTCTCTGCATCCATTACATCGCACCAAAACAGATCTGTGGTGGATGACGTTCTGACAAACCGAGCAGAACCAAGGTCCGGGGATATGCTGCTCTCAATGCAGAAAAATAAACAAACACAAACATGTACATACTGGGTTGGCAGCCGCTGGCCGAAACTGGGATCTTGTTGTTTCGGGTCAATCCGGTGTCGTAGAACCCGCTGCCGTGGGGTTGATGTGATTAGTGGTTTAGTGCACTGTATTCTTCTTGTCAAGCCCTTTTATTTTATACCCATATTGGTGGGATTGATAAAAAATGTCTACGTTATCCGCCATTTTGGATTTTAATTTTATATAGTACATTGTATACTGGTTGAGCACTTTCTTTTGATACCCATATTGATGGGATTGATAAAATCTACGTTATCCGTCATTAAGTAGCGGCCGCCATTTTGGATTTAAATTTTTTATGGTATATTCTGTTTTTAGAGCCCTTTCATTTGATAAAACCTACGTTATCCGCCATTTTGTAACGGCCGCCAAAATCCGAAGTGTATACAAAATTTCAGATTATTCGGTGGACAGGAAGAGGGTAAATTTAAATTACTAAATTTGACCCAAGAATAAATAATAAATAAAACAAACGGGGTGAGCTAAATAAACCCGTTTAAAAAAGAGATCGTTGGTGTTTGTACTATGAAATATGGTGAATGCTCGATGTTAAATAAATTTAGCCGAATTCGCAACACGTTTCGCAATATAGTACTACATTAAAATCCATTTATCTAACGTATATATACCTCAATGTTAATTTGTTTAAACTATATGCTTCATTCTATTGCTCAATTAGTATCATTTTTACAAATGAATAAGTTATTCTTCACATTGAAAGAGTTATTTAAAATAATTTACATGTGTCAAGTGATCGATAGAAAATTATTGGTTTCTGTAGATTCAAATGATTCAACTCTAATGTGTTTTTGTAAGAATGGTGTCTTATGTTATGTTACTTTTAAAATTACAGCGTTGCATCTACAAATATATTAATACATGAATGTAACAAAGAGTAATAAAATACTATATTTACTCGTCCCCGGACCATTGAAAGATCTAGTTAAGGGAAAGAAGAGCGAATTTTCTCATTTACATTTATAAAGAGGCAAAGTCTTCGTATTGAGTACAGCTTTAACAAATTGAAAATTTATAAAGGAGCTGGAAATCGCCTAATATGTTTTTATGTCCAAGATTATCTTTAATAAACGGTTCTAAATAGTCAAAATATACAGCCTAAACAGACTACTCGATTTAACGACAGTTAACCATTAAAGGCATTTTTGTAGAAGACATTTTTCAGGT